ATATTTACATGTATATATTTCTATTCATATAATTTATATTATATATAAATATATTTAATATATAAACATAGCATATTTTTCTTAAATATATGCATGCATGTGTGTGTATTTATATATACATAATAAATATATACAGTACACACACATATATTATGTGAACAAAAACTTTTATTTTGGATGCCATTAATCGCGATTAATCGTTTGACAGCACTAGTATTGGATCTATAACACAAACTGTTACATGCTAGAATTTTCCCCCCCGTAATATAGCTAGTAGCAGAGATTGTAGTTTTTAATATGTGTGTGTGCTAGCACACTAGCATAGCCAATAGCACGTCCATAGAAATCTGATGATTGGAAGCCTCTGCTAGTTTGTATGAAAATTCATGCTAGCCTGTTGTCCGTGGAGGATTGTTATTCTGTGTCCTGTTAATTAGCTCTGTTGTTTAGCCTTGTTTGATGATTTTTAATTAGCTTTGGAGATGACTGGTTCTGATAAACATTAGTGATTACCGCAAGGGCTCCCTGTACATTAACTGCCGTTGACCACGGATCGAGATAACATGTCAGGCTTAGAGCACAACTGCAAATAACATCGGTCATCCCGTGGGATCTTGGGCTCAAACAGTTGGGTGGAGTGTTCAGACATCACTCAAATCTGGTTTCATGAGCTCAGACTTTGCTTGAGCCATGCAGGGAAGGCAATGATAAAAGGATGAAATGAAATAACGTGTGCAAGCATGCGCTCAGCCCTGTACTATAAATGAAAAACATATGTTAAGACTAGCAAAGACTTTCTCAAGCAGATCTTTTTGTCTAAATGAGAATGTGGGTAGCACATGGGAAGCAAATTGTCTATAAGGGGTTAATTAATTATTTTTTTTAAATGTGGATGAACCCTAACCATTTTAAGGATGTGTGAAAGACACAGAGCACCACCAAAACTGACAACCCAGACTCATTGGAACAATGTACCTGTGGAGACATGTTACGTTGCTTCAATCACCCTTTGAGAGATGTTTATTTTTAATTTTAATCAAATGAATGTGAATTTAGCAATGTTTTATTGCGTTGATTGTTGTACATTATTGCAGCAGTTCAGAAAGCAAAAGTGGTACTAAAAGGTTAATGCTCTTTTGTATTTGAAAATTGCATACAACATACACTAAATCCTACCCTAAACCTAACTGATAGTGGTAACAAAAACAAACATGAGATAAAAATAAATTTTCTAAAGCAACCATGCCATTTCAGCCTGCTTTTTTTCTTTTTGAGCACTTTTATTGTAACTCACGTTCGACTGGACTCTTTTCATCATAAGTGCAATGCTTTACCAGGTGAGCTATCGAGCAAGCTTACATTAGAAAAGCCATACGTGGAGCCAGTAACATAATGTCAATGTCAAATTTTACTATGGCAAAAGTGTTTTGAGGTCATAACAGTATTTTTAAGGAACTGTACAAAAAATTTTCTTTATTTTTCGATTATCTGCCTCTGAAATCATGATTTTTCTGAAAATTTCTTAGTTTCTAGAGTTCATTTCAGATAAAACTGCACAGAGATGTATTTATGGGAATAGGAGTTTTGCAAAAATGTAGGTAGAGGCACATTTTTCTAATGAGCCTAGGTTGAAAATTGACACGGCTCCGGGAATTGACGAAGCACCAAGGAAATGGGTATTGATCAGAGACCCAAGTGCAATTCCAGGTACACGAGTTAAGACTATCATGTTAGCCGTTTCTTAAAACCAGACTTCAAATAGTAGCTATTGTTCCCTTTCAGTCGGTCACTCTCGACGTCACGTCGGATGACCGACAAATTGGGATCTCGCTTAGAGAGACCAATCTACTTCGAGTGTAAACTAAACGAGCCAATGCACATTGGCATGCGATTATTGCATCCAGCTGCTGCTGATCACAGCGTGAGTATAAGTAGGCAGCAGATGCAGCGCATATTCAGCTTTTCGCTTTGGAGCCGAGCGGTTCTATCGTTCTGCTCCTGACCTAAGTCTACGGTAGTGAAAACTACAGTCAAGCACGCTCTTCGTGGGCTCTCGTGCTGGTGGTACGGCGCTTCAGCGGCGGTGGTTTTCCCGTGTCGAGTGGGTTGCACACGACAGGCTGCACTACCCCTGTGTGTGTTGCAGACGGCCATCTCCCCTGTGCGCTTCAACACACTAAAAGAGCAATTTCCATCTAAGCCCCCGCCAGACCTGGTGGTAAGCGAAAGAGCAAGAGGCCCTGAGCCAGGCGACCCAGAGATGGAGGGAGTTGCTCTTGGGGAGATGGTGAACGCACCAGGGCCGGGCGGAGAATCTTTTGTTTCCTTTTTTTCCGCCACTGACCTCACGGTCAGTGGTACCCAAATACTCGACAAAAGAGCAATCTCTTCTATCTCTGGGTCCCCTGAGGGGACGGGGGGTTGTGGACGATCCAGAGCCGTATCACACTCACCCTCCTCTCTCGCCAGTGAGCAGCAGTGGGCGGATCGGGAGGA